GGACTGACTTGAGTATCTCTGATTGCAGCTACTGATTTGGGCCCCGCTCTGGTATTTAACTCTGCATCGGCGGTGCAGCAGCTCCATTAAAAGGTCACTGGACCCATAATGGCTGGACACCACTCAATTCTGCCAAAATCTTTCATCTCGAAAAAGCCACAAGACCAGGGCTCTTCCCCTCACCACGCCCCCCACCCCACCCCCCCTGCCCCTTGTGCATGAAGTGACCCAGGATTTAGGAGCAAACGGGATTAATGTTTCCAACCTTTCGGGGCTATTTGGATAAGTATGCCTGATGGTCTAGATTTCTAGACTCAGGAGACAGAGAGTTTATGTGTATATTCTTTATGGGGCAGACTTTGTCATGGCCTTCATAATGGAGGTTCCGATGGCGGCAGGAAATCAGATTGTATACAGAAACGCTGAGATGGGAAGGGTATCTGGTGACAGGCATTACTCCAAGCAAGGCTGGCGGTCCAGCAGATCGGCAGAGAGGGACAACAGCTAAAAGCTTAGAGTGAGAGCATGACCTTTCTCTTGTCTGTTGGTTGACCTCCCCTGACACTTTGGTAATAACGTGACACTACAGATACTCAGCAGGCGTCTAGCAAAGTTCAACCGGTGTCTCTGTCCACCCAGCGGGGAACTTCCAATCCCTAAGACGGAAAAAGCCGAGGAAAGCAGGTCCTGACCCCCTACGGGATCACTCTCACTCAACACAAAGGCAGTTCCAGAATCTAAAGAGCAGTGGAGGACGCAAGGTTTTGGAGGGAGGGCCAGGTTGGCCAAACCCAGGTCCTGATTCGGTGGCAAAGCCAGACCCCAGTCAGAGGGCACCAGTGGCAACGGTAGACGAGACTGAAAGAAACCAAAGAGGAGCTAGGCTACAGCAGAATTCTGATTGGCCAGGCTTGGGTCATGTGACCCCTTCCGCGCCAGGGAGATTTGCATACCAAGCAGACTGACTTTCTCCCTTAGTCACCTTCTCAAGAGAGTCAGGACCAATGGAATGTATTGATAAAGAGATTAATAATGAGATGTATTATAGGGAATCGGCTCACAGAACCGGGGAGGCTGACCCATCCGCAGGGCTACAGGGTGAGTTGGCAAGCCGGAGACCCAGGAGAGCTGCCAGAGTTTAGTTGTGGTCTGAGTCCAAAGACCTAAGAACCAGAAGAGCTAAGGGTGTCATTCCTCTCGCAGGATTGGCAGCCTCAACCCCCAGGAAGAGCCCATGTCTCAATTTGGGTCCAAAGGCAGGAAAAAAAGCTGATGCAGCGGTCAGGCAAAAAGAATTCTCTCTCTCTCTTTTTTTTAATGTTTTATTTTTATGTATTTATTTATTTGAGAGAGAGAAAGAGAAAGCACACAAGCAGGGGAGGGGCGGGGGGGGGGGGGACAGAGGATCCGAAGCAGGCTCTGCGCTGACAGGCTAACAGCAGCCAGCCGGACGTAGGGCTTGAACTCACCAACCGTGAGATCGTGACCCCAGCCTAAGTCGGAGGCTCAACCGACTGAACTACCCAGGCGCCCCAAGAAGAATTCTCTCTTACTGGGGGGGGGGGGGGGGGGCAACCCCAGGGGGTTTTTTTATTATTATTATTCAGGCCTTCAACTGATTGGGTGAGGCCCCCCTCCCCCTACATTCAAGAGGTCGGTCAACCCGCTTTACCCAGTCCACCGATTTAAAAGTTAATCTCATCCCAGAACAGCCTCACAGAAACATCCACAATAACGTTTGATCAACTCTCTGGGCACAGCATGGCCAGCGACACCAACATACAAAATTAACCTTCACGCTTCCTAGAAGGCCACTGGATCCGTCAAGGTTTGACCAGAGAAACACAACCAGTAAGAGATACATATTAAGGGATTCGTGGCAAGGAACTGGCTTACAAGACTGTGGGTGCTGGCTTTGCAATTCTGAAATCCCGAAGGGAAGGGCGGGCCAGCAGGAAGGATAGGCTGGAACTCTCCAGCATGAACCGAAGCTGCTGGCCACAGGGCGAGTTTCTTCATCAGAAAAGCCTTGGGGCGCCTGGGTGGCTCGGTCCGTTAAGTGGCCGACTTCGGCTCGGGTCATGATCTCACAACTCGTGAGTTCGAGCCCCACATCTGACAACTCAGAGCCTGGAGCCTGCTTCCGATTTTGTGTCTCCCTCTCTCTCTCTCTGCCTCTCCCCTGCTCACGCTCTTTCTCTCTCTCAAAAATAAAATATTAAAACATTTAAAAAAATTTTTTTAAGTTAGTTTCTTAAAAAAATAAAAAATCTCAACTCTGTTCTTAAGAGCTTTGGTCTGATTAAGTCAGGCCTGGCCAGATCCCCTGGGATAATCTCCCGTACTTAAAGTCGACTGATTATGAATCTCAATCCCATCTACAACGTATCTGCATAGCAACCTCCAGGTTGGCGTTTCACCCCATCACTGAACACTCTGGCCTAGCCTCGTTGACAGAAAATTGACCATCACGCAGCCTGTATTTTCCAGAAGGACGGGGTAAAAGAGCCAGCGGGCAGTCAGCATACTCGACGTCCAGGAAACAGGGAGGCAGAGAGAGTGGAGAAAGGGGGTGGGGGGGTGGGAATGGAGCAAGTGCAGTTCTAGAGTGGGCCTGCAGGCTGGGGAATCACTACGCCTCCTCCTTAGTGACTCTAAACGGCCGCTGTCACCTTTGGGACCGTTAGGGGTGCTACTCAGTAGCATCAGTGACCCTCTGACCTCCGTCTCTGCTTCAACGGCCCTAATTTGGGTTTTTATCATGTCTCCCTCCGGTTTGGCACCTTCCCCCCCCCCCGCCCCCCGCCTTCCACGCGGCTCCGGTCAGTGCCCTGCCCGCTTCCCCTCGGTACCCCCCAGAGCTCACCTGAAACTTCGGTGACGATCCCTGCGCCTGGCTTCCTACCCCAACCGCATCATCTCTGTCCAAGGAGGTTCTCTGGCTGGGAGCACTAGGGACATACAGGGAGCACCAGGGACTGGATGCCCCAGGGGCCTCCTTCAACCGGGGGTGGGGGGATCCAATGGATAAATCCCCCAGCTTCCTCAGCCACAGAGGAAGAAGCCTGATGTTTCCACAATGTCGCCCAGAGGCCTGAAGGAACGGAACCCCGCTTGCCCCATAGCTTACCCTGTCTTCACTGGCTTTCTCCCCGCGCCCTGCCTCACTTCCTCACTCCCTCCCCGTACTACCTGGGGTCGCATCCCAACTAGACCACTTCAACCCAAATCCTTGCCTTCGGGGATCTACATTTTGGAGAGCTCAAACAGAGAAACCACCGAGTCTGGTCATCCAGGAACACAATTTGGCCCACCATATTCCTCCATGGAAAAACCACCCTTGCCCTCTGAACAGGCGGATTCCCAAGTGGGTAGTTTGGGGGTCCCGCTGACTGCTTTGGCTTCGTCTCCTGCCCTCCTATGCGTATCGTTCTCTAGGCAACTCGGAGTACCTTGAAAACACCATAATGGTTCCTGCCTCTCGGCCTTTAAACACAGGGTACCATCTGCCAAGCGCCGACCCCTGGGCACTTCAGCCCGTCAACTTCATTTCGATCTAGTGAACTCTTCTCACAGAGGATGAATTCAAAGGCTTTCCTGCCTCACAACGTCTTGCGAACACCATTCCCCACCGTGTACATCTCTCCCATCAGACAACGAGACTCCGAGAGCAGTGATAGTGCCTTATTTTATCCTTAGATCATAATACAATGACTGGCGCGTTATAGGGATTCCACGAGGCTCGCTGGATGCGTCACTAACTGAGTACTCTTACTAGCTCAGTGAGTAGTAACATCCATTTCCGCCCCTCTGCCCACAGCTTACTTCCTAATTAAGAAAAATAAAAATATTCCATGGGGCACCTGGGTGGCTCGGTCGGTTGGGCGTCTGACTTCGGCCCGGGTCATGATTTCGCTGTTCGTGGGTTCAAGCCCCACGCCGGGCTCTGTGCTGACAGCTCAGGGCCTGGAGCCTGCTTTGGATTCTGCGTCTCCCACTCTCTCTGCCCCTCCCCCGCTCACGCTCTGTCGCTCTCTCCTTCAAAAAATAAATAAACATGAAAAAAAGTTATGAAAAAGAAAACTATTCCAAAAGGACTCCGGATTTGATGGAATGTTGATGCGTTAAATGCGTGTGTATGAGCCCCGACCATTGACTGGGATGTTCAGGTTGAATAATGATCATGGACGAGGCTTTGTAAATTGCCAAGCACCAAGAATATACTCAGAGTTGTTTTCATTTTAAATGACATCAAGGGGGGCGCCTGGGTGGCGCAGTCGGTTAAGCGTCCGACTTCAGCCAGGTCACGATCTCGCGGTCCGTGAGTTCGAGCCCCGCGTCGGGCTCTGGGCTGATGGCTCGGAGCCTGGAGCCTGTTTCCGATTCTGTGTCTCCCTCTCTCTCTGCCCCTCCCCCGTTCATGCTCTGTCTCTCTCTGTCCCAAAAATAAATAAACGTTGAAAAAAAAAAAATAAATGACATCAAGGAGCGAGAAACAAGAAAAGTGAGAGAGTGTGTGCCTTGTCCAAGGTCATTCGGGAAGTAAATAGGAAAGGCGGGATTCGAGTGAAGTTTCTGACTCTTGTCCCCATGTTTTCTACATACAAATGGGCACCGTCTTAGGGCACGAAAGCCTTGAAAACAGGGCCACAGATGCAGGAACAGTAGACAAGTCAAGGCTTTCCTAGAACCCTTTGGAGACAAAGGGTCAGGGTTTAGCAAACCCTAAGAGTGGCTGCCATTTGAGTGCCCTCGATCTGGCTTTGTACGCATTATCTGTAAGCTGTACGACGATAAAATTTCTGCTAAGTATTTAGCTCCAACTTATAGATGAGCACATAGAAACTCGGATTTAAGTCACTCATCTGCGAAGCATTGGAGCTCAGATCCAAACCCAGAAATGGCCAATTCCAGAGCCTACCGTCTGCTACATCCAGCCCCTCTCAGAAAATAATAAAAGCTGACATTTTTTAAGCAGCTCCTGTGTACCAGGCACTTACTTCCGTCCTCGTAATAATCCAGGAAGCCTGCTTCGATGATAACTTCCCCAGTTTTGCTGACGAGGAGGCTGTGTTTCATGCACAGTAAGTCAGTGTTGCAAGGTCAGAGGCAGAATGATGCTGTGGCCCTTTCGGACATCAGAGGGCACTTCTTTCCATGTCTTTCCATGTCTCTGAGCTCCGACTGTACATCGGAACACACAAAGAGCTCTGTAAATCTCCAGGCCCCATCTCTTGGAAGTCTGATGCAGTAAATGCCTCCACAAGGAAACAAATATGGAAACATTTAGATCGATAGAGGCGAAGAAGAGAGGGCTCTTTGGTCCAAGCTGCAGCATAACAGAGAAATCCGTAAGATCCCTGCAAATGTAACGTCCATCCTCCCGTGGCTGACGAGCTGGCGATCGAGAAAGCAGAAAACTCTGACCTCAACTCCGTGTGGCTTGAAGACAGCTGAGAGAGAGAGAGAGAGAGAGAGTCACAAGAGAAAAAATAAAGTATGAGCCTCCTTTAAGGTGGGGATTTCAAAAGCAGCTCTCTTGAACTGGTGAAGTCAGAGATAGGATAGCTTCACAAATGGCTACTTGGCAGCCGTAAACTGTGATAAATTTGTTCTACATTCGTAGATGCGGAAAGACGTCCAGGGCATGGTGAAAAAAAAGCAAATTGTAAAATACCATGAACGGACTATGTATGCCCGTGATAGTATATAGTATCATTTTTATTATGCGTATATAGGAAGTATGAATATATTATGTGTGACTATAGTATGATCCTATTTGTACATGTTGCTTAAACACACCCAAACAACATAGACGGATGTCCATCAACACATCAACAGTGGTGGACCATTGGGGGATCTGTGTTTCCCTTCCTTCCTTCCACGAATATGTACTGAGCTCCCACTTTGTAACAGACACCCTCTCTCTTCCTTCAGCCTATGTTTAATTGCTTGAGAATTCTAGAAGCATGGATTTACAGGCACCTGGATTTGCAGCGAATTTGAAAATAAAACGGTCTCCTGTCAATAGCCCCAATAACCCCCGATGGGGGGGGGTGACGCTGGTGATATTTATAAGGCGACTCGGGAGAAGAAGGAAGGTAGGAGACAGACGGCACAGCCTGAGAGAGAATCCCCGGCCCCCACCCTCTTCTCCGCCCCCACACACTAGGTTCTGGTTTTTTGTTGTTGTTTTTCGCATGGGTTTTTTTTTGTTTTGTTTTGTTTTGTTTTGTTTTGTGTTTGGTCGGGGGTCACCATCTGTAGATTTGCTCTGCACAAAAATAAAGCCATCCATCTCCCTTATGGTGGTGTCATGTAAGCTCAGGAAAAACCACAGTGCTCAAGGGGGGCCCTGGGTGGGAAAAACACTTATCTGCCTCAGCCGGGTTCAGAGCTCTCCCCCGAAGGCATCCTTCCCTAGACTCAGGGGATGGGGGTTGTTTATCCCCTGGCACACAATGAAATGTCGGGAACACATGTTCAGGGTGAGGTGGAGCCCGATGAAGGTTAAAAATGGAACAGCGGCTTTGATCCCCAGCCAACACCAATGACGCTCGGGGTTGGGGCCAGAGTGAGACGTCATGTTCCCTCGCTGTCTCCGCAGAAGGTGCAGACAGTCCCCTCCTGACTCCAAAAGCAGACAGGGCCCCAGACTGGAAAGTGGAAGAAAGACCCCAGGCAAGAAGGGACGCCTGAGTCTCAGGGAAAAGCAGGCCTCCTATGGGCCAGCCAGGGGGCTTTCTCTGCTTTTAATGGGGAGCCTCCATCAGGCCATTCATTATCTGATGGTACGAGGACTTGAAACAGGACCCTCCCTGGAGCGTCCACTGGACAGGGCACAAAGTTAGCAGGCCCCGGCGTCTCGGTCTCCCTCCTGACTCATCTGTGGCCGCCATTTTGTAATCATTTCCCTAGACTCTTTCACTGTCTGTTTATCTAGGCATTCTTCACTCCACCAGCAAATTGTGCTGAAAGTCTGGTCTGTTCCCAAACCGAGCCAGATGCTGGATATCTGACAGCGAAGAACACCCAGTCTCTCCTTCCAGGTCTTGAGGTCTGGTGGGAAAGAGAGGCACAGAAAAGACAGTTGCAACAGGACAGACTAAGTCTTCTGAGGTGGATAAGTACACGGTGCAGGAGACCACAATGAGGGAGGTAACCTGGGCTTGGTGGAGAAGGGCAGGAGAGGAACCCTAGAGAAAGATGGAGATATTTTTTTTTTAATTTTAATGTTTATTTATTTGAGAGAGGGGGGAGGGGGAAGATAAAGAGCAAGACACAGAATCTGAAGCAGGCTCCAGGCTCCGAGCCATCAGCACAGAGCCCGATGCAGAGTTCAAACTCGCAAACCATGAGATCATGACCTGAGCCGAAGTCAGATGCCCAACCGACTAGGCCACCCAGGCTCCTGAAAGATGGAGGTATTTAAACCAAGGCCTGGGGAAGAAAAGTAAGAGCTCACGAGGTAAACAAAGTAAGGCAAAAGTGTCTCGGGTGGAGGGAACAGCATGTGTAAAAGCTCTAAAGACAGACAAAGGGCACATTGGAGTAAACAAAACGCCAGGACACTGGGGTGAGGTGAGACAAAAATGTTCTCTCTCTAAAGTGCAGCCTGTCTACAAAAAAGTGAACTGGTCACCCCCAATTTTGATTACCTTTACAATCAAATTGGCCAACTGCTTTCCATGGGATTGAGTGAAGAAATCATTGTTCTAATCAGAGTCAACACTCTTACTGAGCACACGCTAGGAGCCGTAACTCTTAGACACAGGATCTCATGCGTCCTCATAAAAAAACTGAATAACTTGAAGGTCACAGAGGTTACTTAAGCCCATCAAGTCCATATAGCAAGTTAAGTATACATGGCAGGAGGGGGCAGGATTTCAACCTGGAGCTTTGAACACCACTTACAGCATTCATTTGATCTTAGTCGAGATGGATTCCCTTATTAAGGTCCGCGTATGAGTAAACTACTTCCCAGCTCAGAGAAGAAGACTTCCTCATCCATCCCATCCATCCATCCATCCATCCATCCATCCATCTACCCACTGAATCATCCACACAATCAATCACTGCGCATTCATTGTGTACCTCCTCTGGCAGGTCGTCTACATTGCCCCGTCTGTCTCGCAAACTGCCCCCATAATATTTTCAACTTTCAATTGTAAGAGACTCCCTTAGTCTTCCGAAACAAGATGGTACCTCAGAGATGGAACCGTTTACGGGTTTTCTCTGCAGCTCTACATAAGGTCATATTTCGAAATTCGCCCAGTTGCCTTAGCTGGTATTGTACATCGAAATCCATTAGAATATCCTAATGTCATGCAATGCTTTAAGGTCTAAGGCATCAGCATGACATATCAGGAGTAGAAGTGAACTTTGAGATTACCTAGCTCAACCTTCTGGTTTCACAAATTATAAAATAAGGTATAAAAAGAAGTCAGCTTTCCCAACAGCACATGAATATTTGATACTGATGTTTGCTCCTGTGACACTTGGGGCTAACGAGGCTCATCATCCGTGTCATGGTCACAGAATTCTGGGTTAGGGAGAATTAAGTTTTCATATGGTACCGTATAAATTTGAGTCTAGCAGAATGGAGAAAGCAAATGTGGTTCAGGGAGATCCCAAGATCACTTCATATAGGACATTCCACTCATCCCCAAAGTTAAGACCTCCTCTTACAAGTTCTCTTCCCACTATACACCTTTCTTCATCGGACTCATATTTATCAAATCCTGTCTGGATGTCTGTCCTCCCCAATGGGTTATCAGCGCCCTGAGAAACCATATCTGTCTGATTTGCACTTGTACATCTACTGCCTGTCACAGTGCCGAAGGTATAGTAGGTAGTCAATAAATACGTGTACTATGCAATACCAACACTGCTTCGGATTACACGTGAAGGGTGTCACCAAGGAGGATTCTAGAAATTTCTTCCAGAATTCTAGATTCTAGAATTTTCTCCTAGAATTCTAGACTTTTCTCTTAGGAGTCTAGATTCTGGACTTTTCTCTTAGGATTCTAGATTCTAGACTTTTCTCCTAGGATTCTAGATTCTAGAATTTTTCTTCTAGAAATTTCTCCGCATGTTAGTATTGGTCTTTTTGTGAGCCATTCATTTTTTTCACTTTATCATGTTTCTCCGAATTAAACTGTTTGCTTCCTTTAAAAATAAAGCTAGTTCTCATTTATCTGCGGGCTGATGGAAGGTAAACAGATAAGGAAAGACAGGTCTGGTTCCTTCACATCCTAAAATTCTGGTACAGGTGTAAGAGAAAAAGATGTCTTCTCCCTCATAGAGTCTGCTAACTCTATGAAAGCTTCTGGGTAGAGTCATAAATCTCTCTATTGTGTTCAGTCCATTTTCTCAGGAGCAACAGGCAGAAAGATGAAATCCTGGAAGCTTCTAGAAGCAGCTATCCTAAAGCCCCAAATCTCTGTTGTGAGGGTAAGTGTTCACCAAAGAAATCTCAAAAAGGGCCAAAAACAAAACAAAAAAAAAAACAAAACAAACGCCTGCACCCTCTCAGACAAGAGTCAGGATTTGAACAAACAAGGTCAGCAGCTCCAACAGAGTTGCCATTCAAAGAGTGACAGAACACGACTTTCTGTGTCTCCAAGTGACAGGTGACACCATCCCACAGGCGCCTTCCCAGCACGGAGGGCAAGCTCGTATTCATTCTCCTGTGGCAAAGCCACCACCAGCCTTTTCAAGAAAACGCAGCTTTAACACCCAAGGAATTTGGCTTTTGGGGGAAATCTCATATCCTTTGTATTGCGGGGGCCCGTGCTGGTGTGGAACCATGCCAAGGGCTACATGCGAGAAAAAGAAAAATGGGGGGGGGGGAATATTGGGAGTGATTCCCTAAGAAAAGGATTCTCAGCCAAATTAGGGAGACGGGAAGTTGTTGGTCTTTTGGGTGCTCCTTGGCTGGGCAAATTTGGGGTTTGTACGTTTTTGAGCTTTATCTCTGCTGGGGTGCTTTGTTGGTCTGTACTCTGAATGTTCCTTCCTGGGAAGACTGGAGTCTCAGTCGCCACAGAGAACATGGCAAACCGTCCCTGACACTTACGGCTTGTGCCGCGTTAGGCAAGACAACTGTCATCTCTTAAAGTCTTGGGTCTGTGACATGGAGATGAGAATCAGAGGAATATGCTAAAGAGTTAATGAGCTAAATCATGCGCAGGGTCTGATGCAAGGGAAGCAAATATCAGCTTCCTTCTCCTTTCTTCTGTCCCCTCCCCAACTCCAAATCCTTTCTTAACGACCAGGAGCAACCTGGTGAAAATAGTTTTAATCAGCTGCATCTGAAACCACGAAAGAATTTTTTTTTTTTCTTTGCAGTGGGTGAAGACCGTAGATGTGGGAACTGAGCTATCATTCTCATTCTTGAATAATTTGGGGCACATTTTCCTTCTCTCAATATTCAAAGCAATAACAGCAATGCCATCGTATCTTTGAGAAACTGCTGTATTTGAAAATCATTCCCGGACTATCTGGAGACATTTACAGAAAGTCTAGGAATCCTGGAAACAAAAAGGGGCCTGAAAACTAGGGGCAGAGAGAGAAATTTCCACCTTATGGGAAATTTTCAGTTTTGCACAGCTGGCATATAACTGGGCAATATTAGCAATCCAAGTAGAAATAACCAAAATAAGATTAACTCCCACTTCTTAAATACGAAGTAGGTGCTGAACATTCTACTAAACACGTTATATATATACAATCTCGTGCAATTCTCAGTGCAAGCCCCTGAGAAAGTTACTGTTATGAATGCATTTTACTGAAGAGGAAAGTGTACTTTGAAAAGGTAGCATGTGTCTCTCTAAATCAGTTTCTGGTAGGCAGTCGAAGAAACAGGGTGACAATCTAGATCCTTCTCACTGCAGACCCTGAGCTCTTATCCTGGGGAGTTCAGAGTCCCCAAGAGGCTGACTTTCTTTTTCCCCCTTTTGAAACTTCTATTACAAATCTGTCTTAATCTATCTATCCTGTGACAATCTGTTTCTATGTCTCTCAATGTGTGTCTCAGTCCTTTTGGCTTTCACTGTTACACACACACACACACACACACACACACACACACACACACTGCACTGACCAGCAGTCTGGCTGGTACACCTGTCCTCTGCATTTTTATGACCCCAGTCTGTAGGTCAACCCTGATAAAGTACAGTAGATGATAACTAAACTTCCTAAAATTTCTATTAAACATTCTATATCCGAAATCTTTACGGTATCTTAAAGTCTTGGACCAAACCTTTTGGACCTTTTCTTGGACCACACCTTTCAGGGCTATATAAGTTATATTGGTCAGTTTTTGAGACTAGTGCACAGTTTTTTAGTCATTTTCTTACATCTTTCTCATAGATGTTTGTTTTCTCTAAGAAGCAGAAGATCAGAGTTCTAGCTCTGGTACTAACCAGCTTGGAAGTTCTCGGCCCCTCCCTGGGACTCGGTTTTGTTATCTGTACAACGGGAGACCTGCATCCACTTGTCCTCCACCTCCTGCCCAGGGCTCCTCTCTGGAATCCCAGATCTTCCCTGTACACAGTCTGAAAACCATGAGATTAATAAACCCCTCGACCGCCTTCTGGTTTTACAATTCTGCAATGCTGTTACTTTATGTAAAATTAACAGTAATAAAAAGAATACTGAATATGGAAAATCTGATGCACAAAAGAAACAGTCCTAGCACACAATCCAAAACCCAAGATAAATGACATTTCATTTCTGTATTATTCGTGCTAAAATGCCTCTTGGCAGACACGGATAATTAAGGGTTTCATGGCGTGGTTTTGGTCAGCCTTCCGTAATTTGTACTTTGCATCCACAAACTCAACCATGGAAATATCCCAGACCCTGGTCATCTGACCCCACGTCAGAATTACCGTCAGGAACTCGTGTCAGGAATTAATGGCTGGGCAGTGAGAGATGATCCCTATTACATAATGCCAGTATATTTTGTACATCCAGCATGGCTCACCAGAGCATAGCTGCTGGTGCCCTCCGCAGTCTGATCATCAACCCCGATGATGATCAGAGTCTGCCTCCAGGCTTCGGGGGAGACGACCCCTGCATTGGTTCTCCCTGATTTCGTTATGCACCAGCTCATCTTCCCAAGCCAACCAGTTGCACTGGCGTCTGGCCGAGAGTGGGAACGGTTCCGCCAACGCCTTAGGAATCCATGGATTTGCAACGGGGCTAGAAGTCGAGTAGCCAGTGGCGCCCAAAGGGACGAGCCAAGTCAGGGAACCAGGGAACAGAGTTCTGGTTTGATCCCTCGGGACCGGAGCGCGCGACCTTATTCCCGGGTTGGGCTGACGCGGGGGAGGAGCGATGTTCCGCCGGAGCCGTTACGGAAAACTCGGTTGGTTACAAGTTTACATGGTGCCTGGAGATAAGGCAAGGGAACTCCAACTTGAAATCAAAATCGCAGCGCTTGCAGTAATTAATCAATTGCAAGACATATGCTGAATGTGTGTCTCGATGTGAAAACAGATGGACTAATGTGTATTGATCTCCCACGGGTTGTTGACACTCTGAAACAGAGGCAATGAAAGGCATTGGGGGAGTGCTTTAAGTGGAGAAGGTTCAACCATGGGGGATTGCAACTCTGGGCCAAGGACTCTTTTGGTGAACTCTGGGCTGCCGCTGAGAACGTCACACTGAAGCCTTTCGGGGCCAACAGCGGAAATGAAGGAAAAACGGTGGGGATGGGGCAGCGGGGGTGGGGGGAGGGCTGTCTCCATCACCACCTTGCCCCCTTCTCTACTCTCACATATTTATTTGTATTCCTTCATTATCGCAGCTTCCCCGGCCTCTACGTAGATCAACAGAAGTTACACCACTCAGGTCCCAGAAGCTACTCAGATAAGTTCTCAGTCCTCCTGCGGCCAATTCCACATTTCCTTTTCTTGGGGGGAGGGCCGGGGGGGGGGGTCTCCAACTTGTGTCTCAGTTGTGATTAGGGATCACACAATCCAGGTGCCGCAATCTCCCTCCAGGCATTCCCTGTGCACCTGAACCATTTCCAAAAGCCACTTCCCTCTTCCCTGATGTTCTGGAACGCTCGACCTGCCAAAATCAAGCAGAAGCTAAGGAGAACGGGGGAAAAAGTGCCTTCAGCCCTTCTATATGTTACATCAGCACACCGTGCCTCTGGTTTAGGCTGGTTGGCTTCCAGATGCCGCGGGCTTCGGAGCCACCCGGGAGAGAGCGAGTGTCGTTGGGTAAGTGCTTCCCAACTAGTAGAAAGGGAATTTACAACAGAAGGAGCTTCCGGTAGTGATATATAGAGTCCTCTGTGTGGAACTCTTTAGGGGTATTAATCTCAAATTGTAACTATCACGGCCAAAGCAGGCTGAGGAGAGACTCTGATCATGCGGTTTCCATCCCTCGTCCTATTTTCTTCCTGACCTCTTCCTTGATAGGGGTACAGGAAGATGGCTTCTTTAGAAATGCTTTGTCCGGGCGCCTGGGTGGCGCAGTCGGTTAAGCGTCCGACTTCAGCTCAGGTCACGATCTCGCGGTCCGTGAGTTCGAGCCCCGCGTCGGGCTCTGGGCTGATGGCTCAGAGCCTGGAGCCTGTTTCCGATTCTGTGTCTCCCTCTCTCTCTGCCCCTCCCCCGTTCATGCTCTGTCTCTCTCTGTCTCAAAAATAAATAAACGTTAAAAAAATTTTTTTAAATAAATAAATAAATAAATAAATAAATAAATAGAAGTGCTTTGTCCAATGCTGTTCGTTGCCATATGGGTCAGGGGGTCTTGAAAGAAGGTCAAGGTGGGGCAGCACAGGGTCCATGAGAATTAGATTGCCTACAAAAGGGGGCCAGACTATATGCATGGGTTGCATAGAGGATGGGGAGGAAATCTAAGAACTTTCCAGAATGACACTATCCCCTAACTGAACCCAAACCAGACAGTCACCTCCCCCCGCCCCCCTGCATCCCGGACCCCTAGAGCTTGTTTTATCATTCGCTAAAGAATAACCACTCAGTACTCAGGGACAAGGGTCTCTCTGGGTTTTCCTCCCTCCGCATCCCTCACTCAAGGAACTCTGCAGATAAATCACCATGTTAATCCCCTGGCCTAAGAGTTATGGGCTGTAGGAAAGCAGGAGGAGACTGTTGAATTGGGCTTGGGGACGGAAAGAAGCTCTGGATGAAAAATGAAGGGTGAACTCACGGATGGGCCGCCCGCAGTGAGGAGGGATCTTCCAGAGAGAGAAGAGGGGCGATCTTAGGGTATGGGGGACAGGAGGTGACCTGTTCCAAACAATGGATGTTGAACCGGCAAAGTGAGAGGGCTCAGGGAAGCGGGAACGGGCAAGAAAGAACTCATTGCTTATGGAAAAGACCAGAAAGGGAAAAGAAAGCACCGTTCCAACAATGGGTGACGCGGAGGAGACAGCCTTATTCGACCTGATAGGGCTCCTTCAGACTTACACAGTATCTGCTCCGGGGTAAGAGGCCCCCTGGCAATTACTACAGAGGCCTTCCCCGGACCTCGTGGTCTTTCTCTACACTCTCCTCCTACTGACAACTCGGCTCGCAGACTGGGTGCCCCGTGCGGTGAGGACAGCCGTACCGCAGATGAAGAGACATCAGAGGGGAAAGGCAGAAATCCTTCCTTCTGCACCTTTCCCGGGATTCTCCTCCACTGCTGCAGTGTGTGTGTGTGTGTGTGTGTGTGTGTGTGTGTGTGTGTTCAAGTAATGTGAGACAGTGCAGAAACATCACCTGCCTATCGGACGCTCGTTCAACGACTGAGAGGATGAGAAACGAGACAGCGAGACCGAGAGGGATGACGTTAATAACGCAAGCAGAACTCTGCCTGACATCCTCCCCAACGAGCATCTTCCACCCCAGGGAGGGCAAAGGATGCTAAGGTGTCACCTCTGTTGTGCCCACAACCTCGTCTCATTCCCCATGTATCTCCCCGTGAGGTGTCAGTGTAATAGGTTTTCAAAGATAATTCCACCTCTAGGAGATTTTCCTCACTGACTGCAGACCAACTCCGCTGTCTACGTTTGTGTATGCATGAAGGCGTGTCGGGTCCTGCAGCTACGCGTGGTGTAGGAAGGGGCCTACGTGTGTTGTGCACAGGCATGCACGTGCGTGGATGTTGCCCACGCCCGGGGGACCGTGTGTGCGAACGGACCGTATCTGTGTCTGTATGTAGGCGTGCAAGCTATCCCTAATAAACTTCCCGTGTCCTAATCTCCATCTCAGAGTCAGCTTCCAGAGAGCCCAGCCTGCGATGACATGTGGGAGCCAAGGCTGGCATCACTGCCTCAGAACATGGGATGGATGTTAGGGGCCCCCTGTCAGAGCCTCCCTGCCCCTTCGTTCAAATTGGTTCCTTACCATTGTTATCAGTTCAGACTCCAAAGTCACACATTTGCTTTCCAGTCCCAACTCTCGATAGCCACGTGAGCGTAGGCAGGTTTCAACTGTTCTGAATCTCTTTTGTCTAGGAACCCGGATAATCACGATGCCTGCCGTCCGGGGTTATCATCAGAATCAAATGAGACAAGGCAGGCAACGCCCTCAGCCAAGGGCCCAACGCACAGTACTCACCGGATCCATATGAGCAGCTATCGCTAACTTCTTCTGTGCTTAGTAGGTAATTTATAGGACTGCTGGTGGGAAAAAAATGTATAAGCTAGAGTTTCTTGGGAGGTTTAATTGTGTCTAATAAATTAATCACAAAAATACATCCTATTCTCATGCTCCTCTTGCCAGATTTGAGATTCCCTTAACTAGGGATTTGGGCACCAAAATCCTGGAAGCCAGACAGCAAAGGACGTCTTTGCTTTGCCAACACTGTCTGCCCCTGCTATTCTCCAGCTAAACTTTTAAGAGCTCCTGGCTAACTCGACTCCTGTCTAGTAAAATGGAGGCAGAGGAGAGAGGTGACAAAGAGACTCAGCCTTCAAAGAATATCAAGTTGCAGGGGACCAGTAAGCCATTACATTGCATTGACGCTCGGTGGTGATAGCCAGCCTCCAAGATGGCCCCAAAGACCCTCGTCTTCGGGTACTCACATACTTGTATGTCCCCCTCCCGTGTTGAACAGGACTGACCTGTGCAACCAATAGGATGTTTCGGAAACGTCAGAGTATGACTTCCAAGGATAGGTCACAAAAGTTAATGCAGCTTCCTTCTCACTCTTTTCCTGAATCCTTCATTTCAAGAGAAACCAGCCACCATGTTGTGGCGACACTTGAAGCAACCCTGTGGAAAGACTCATTTGGCGAGGACCTGAAGCCTCCCACCCACAACCCTGTGAGCAAACTACCTTGGGAGTGGATCCTCCAACCCCAGCCAAGCCTTCAGATGAGACCACAGCCCCAGCTGCCATCTTGACTATACCCTCAGGAGAGACCATGAGCCAGACCCGCCCAGCTAAGCGGCTCCCAAATTCCGGACTCATGGAAACTGTGAGATGATACATGTTTGCTTTTCTAAGCCTCTGAGTTTCGGGAAAATCTGTTATATAGCAATAGATAACTGACATACCATCGCTTCTTTCTTAGAGAAGCTCCAATTCGTGCAAATTCAGTTCTTAGTTTAAACTATATGAAGTCGCCAACATGTGACCGTGTTGACCCACACATGGTGATGACCTCTCCATTGACCTAGGGAGGGACTCAACGGTCCGCATAAATGCAGGCCTGAGTGTAGAGC